TGGAACCCCGAGTTTCGGCCGTAATCCGTTCCAGGAGCTAGGCCTAAATTCAAAATGACTGAAAGGCAAAGCAATATTTCCTGTAAGAAATAATGTAAATACAATTAATCCATTCCAGACTACAAAAATATTCACAAAAAATACATTTTATAAAGAATAACTATAGTTTAATATACATATAGTACATGTACTTAAAACTTATACTATATGGTATTAAATGAGTAATACAATATCACATTTATGTACCTTTATTGAAGACTTTTGTTGGCATCTGGAAGATAGGGAGGAAAGAGGGAGGACTTATTATTGCCTCCACCACTGCCTCACTGCCACTATGAAGTTTCTTTGGGCCCATGGTGGCTTATTTCACAGTCAGAATCAATAAACAAGCACTAAATTCAATTAATTTATTGTGAAATGTTCAGATGAGCGCACAAGGTAATGTTCACTCAAGGAAAAAACAAAGCTAGACTGGCTCACAATGCCTGTGCGGGGATGCGCTCAGGCGCGGGCAGGCAGACAGGTCTGGTATGCTGGCCGAAACCCAGGGCAAAGACCAAAATGGGGGACAAAATTTGGCTGAAAAAAAGTGGCCGAAACCCGAAGTGACTGATTCTTAGGGTGGCCGAAGCCTGGGGTTTCACTGTATTGTTTATTATGTCATATTGGATGAATTGTGATAGATAAATAAGCTGTGGAATATAGTTCTTCTCTATAAAATGTATTTTTTTTTATACTTTTGGATGTCTGAAATGGATTAATTGGATTTACATTATTTTTTATGGGGAAAATGGTTTCAGTTTTAGTCGATTTCACATTTTATTGGACTCTGGGAACGAATTAAAGACGAAAAGGGAGGGTCCACTGTATTTCCACGTTTTAAGAAGTATTACACTGAAACACTTGTAATGTTATAAGTATTCCTTGTACATAGCCTTAAAAGATAAAAAAAAAAAAAATCAGTCATACTGTATATATACCAATTATTCCAAGTGAAGTAATGTTTCAATTGCTGAAACATCTTGAAACACATGTAAAATCTAGTATATATAGCATTAAAAATTAAAAGCAATTAAAAAAAAAAAAACAGAAAAACAATCATATCTTAATGTCAAAAAATTGTAAAATGTAAATACCACTGGTGCTGTTGCCAATTAGTGATCTATTTTCTCCAACTTCAGCGTGCCATAAAATCATAAGTTTTTATCAGATTTTGCTCATTTTACTCTTATTTAATTCAGGAAAACAAGCTCTGTTAACCCTTTCAGGGTCCACAGAGACTTGTTCTCAGGGTCACCCAAATTTCAAAAAAAAAAAAAAAAAAAAAAAAAAAAATTTCTTACGTATAGATAGAGAATCTTTTCCCGATCATAATGGCACCAAAAGTATGAGATTTGATGGAAAACTTAGGGAATTATGCTCTCGCGAAGTTAGCGGTCTTGACGATGTTTACACATCGGCGACTTTGCCCACTTTGACCCCTATTTTCGGCCAATTCCAATGTACTAGTCAACAAAAATCATAAACTATTTTGCTAGAACTCCATTTTTTCTATCGAATCAGTACAAGAAACCACCAATTTACCGATTTCAACTATCCAATACAGTGGTCAGAATTCAGCAATTTTGCCAATTTCACACAAATTTCAAAAGATGCCAATTTCCAAATAGGGTCCAGAATAAACAAGAAAAACATTCCTGGCACTAAAATCACATTTCCTCTGTTCATTAGTCACGTCCCCACACCCCTCTTACATTCTTTTGCTTTCCATTTTGAATTTTTATTCTCACAAAAAATAGAAGATTTACTGTTATGCAGACTACTGCATTAGTGTAGAAATGGTATAAATAATATCAGCGCACTTGTGAAAGAATATTAGACTCACCAGTTGACGTGTATTGGGTGCTTAGCATGATTTGTTTACTTTTGAACTTTAGTAAAAACCGAACATTTCTGCTACTTTGAGCTCAATTTCAAGGTACTTTTCATTGTAAAACCAGTCAAAATCATCTCAATTTCTGTAATATGTCTTCCATTCTATACAATGAGACTAGGAAAACTAGAATACAGCAATAAATACCATACGAAAATACAGTACAAAGTCGCTGTTTTAATCCAAAAACACGGTCAAAGTTTTTTTTTTTTCTCATTACGCACTGTGTGCTGCAGGATTTTTTTTATACTGTGCACACTGACCACATAAGACCCATTCTTTCATATGTAGGCCTACCAGCTTTCTCTCACTAGATTTGAAGGCGCTAAAATTTATGAGTACTAGTACGTCATGGACCCTGGTGCGTAAGCCGTACTAGTACAGCCGAAACCCTGAAAGGGTTAATCTGTAAAAAAATTTTTTTTTTATATTGCAAAATCTTACCCCCACCCAGGAATTTTTTAGGCTATCACACAGTTAAAGAGTTAAAATAAATTTCCTTTCTTTATATAATTTTTAATTAAAATAATTTAATAATTAACCCATTAACTGTCCAAACGTAGATCTACGTTTGCTCGCCCAGCACTCCGAATATTTTGAAAAAAAAAAATTAAATTAAAGAGGGCAATTTTGTGTGTAATAACACCCAAAAAAAAAAAAAATTAGGACCAGTGCTTACCGAGATGTAAGACCGTGAAGTTGGCGCTGGATGCTCACCTGATGGCAACATGGAGTCCTGCCGCTTGCAGAAGTGTTTCCGATATACCTTTTTTTCTCGTTTTTATATTATTTTATATAATTTTTATTCTCTTCATAATTACAGTTTATAGTAGTTCTTGTGATTTCATAGCCAATCTTTGTTCTGACACTAATATCAGGTACTGAAATTGTACTCAAATTGTTACACACTGACAGGTCAACATTTACACCTGCCTTGGTCATTTACTATTGTCTAGGAATATAGAAAAAGTAATTATAGGTCCCAGCAATGTTTTAGACACGCTGGAGTATATATGAAACTCCTTGAAGCATGGTGTTAAGACGATTGTTACTAAACTGCTGACAGGGTAAGCAATGGTGTGATACTTGATGATCGTGTACTGCTGCATGGAACTCTGGCTTTATTTGTTTTCACTGCTACACACAAACATGTCTGTCTGTCTAGCTATGTCTGTTTATCTGTCTTTCTGTCTGCCTGTGTGTGTGTGTGTGTGTCTTTGTCTGCCTGTGTGTGTGTCTGTCTTTCTGTCTGCTTGTCTCTCTTGTCTCTGAGAGTTGCTCACAAACCAACTGGTATTACACACGATCACGTCTGATTCTTGAACAAGTGAAAATGCGTATTACTTGCCAGTTGCCAGTCATGCTAATTTTTTTTATTTTTTTTTATTATCACACTGGCCGATTCCCACCAAGGCAGGGTGGCCCGAAAAAGAAAAACTTTCACCATCATTCACTCCATCACTGTCTTGCCAGAAGGGTGCTTTACACTACAGTTTTTAAACTGCAACATTACACCCCTCCTTCAGAGTGCAGGCACTGTACTTCCCATCTCCAGGACTCAAGTCCGGCCTGCCGGTTTCCCTGAACCCCTTCATAAATGTTACCCTGCTCACACTCCAACAGCACGTCAAGTATTAAAAAACCATTTGTCTCCATTCACTCCTATCAAACACGCTCACGCATGCCTGCTGGAAGTCCAAGCCCCTCGCACACAAAACCTCCTTTACCCCCTCCCTCCAACCTTTCCTAGGCCGACCCCTACCCCGCCTTCCTTCCACTACAGACTGATACACTCTTGAAGTTATTCTGTTTCGCTCCATTCTCTCCACATGTCCGAACCACCTCAACAACCCTTCCTCAGCCCTCTGGACAACAGTTTTTGTAATCCCGCACCTCCTCCTAACTTCCAAACTACAAATTCTCTGCATTATATTCACACCACACATTGCTCTCAGACATGACATCTCCGCTGCCTCCAGCCACCTTCTCGCTGCAACATTCATCACCCATGCTTCACACCCATATAAGAGCGTTGGTAAAACTATACTCTCATACATTCCCCTCTTTGCCTCCAAGGACAAAGTTCTTTGTCTCCACAGACTCCTAAGTGCACCACTCACCCTTTTCCCCTAATCAATTCTATGATTCACCTCATCTTTCATAGACCCATCCGCTGACACGTCCACTTCCAAATATCTGAATACATTCACCTCCTCCATACTCTCTCCCTCCAATCTGATATCCAATCTTTCATCACCTAATCTTTTTGTTATCCTCATAACCTTACTCTTTCCTGTATTCACTTTCAATTTTCTTCTTTTGCACACCCTACCAAATTCATCCACCAATCTCTGCAACTTCTCTTCAGAATCTCCCAAGAGCACAGTGTCATCAGCAAAGAGCAACTGTGACAACTCCCACTTTATGTGTGATTCTTTATCTTTTAACTCCACGCCTCTTGCCAAGACCCTCGCATTTACTTCTCTTACAACCCCATCTATAAATATATTAAACAACCACGGTGACATCACACATCCTTGTCTAAGGCCTACTTTTACTGGGAAATAATTTCCCTCTTTCCTACATACTCTAACTTGAGCCTCACTATCCTCGTAAAAACTCTTCACTGCTTTCAGTAACCTACCTCCTACACCATACACCTGCAACATCTGCCACATTGCCCCCCTATCCACCCTGTCATACGCCTTTTCCAAATCCATAAATGCCACAAAGACCTCTTTAGCCTTATCTAAATACTGTTCACTTATATGTTTCACTGCTTATATGTTTCATGCTAATTATGCAATATATTTACAAGCACAGTATAGCACCTTGTTTGGATTTTTTGGGTTATCCTAGGTAATTTACGCTATGTATAATTGTACGTATTTTTTTTGTTTTTTAACAAGTTGGCCGTCTCCCACCGAGGCAGGGTGACTGTACTATATATTGTTTATAATTAAGTACATGTACTTTACTCTGATTAAATATTTTATCAGTGATGTTAATTGTTTGTTTTCAAAATTTTTATGTGATTATGATTATCACTGTTATTTAATTTTTTCAGGGAGGTCACGCCACCATGACTCTCGTCAGACATTCACTAGGACTATCCACTTTGGGGCTTCATGTCAGGAAGTCGCAGTTGCTTTAGGGGCACCATCACGGATTTTCTACAAGTCTGAAGATAAAATGAAAATTCATAATGCCCATGCCCGAAAAGCAACCACACGCTCTGATTTCTTCTTCAATTATTTTACTCTAGGACTGGTATGATTACTAATGTAATATCTTTGTAGTCTGTAGGAGGGATGAGGATGTTGCAGTCTGGAGGGTCATCTGAACTGTGATGTCAGCACACTTCTGGCAAGAAACCAATTGAATGATTGACAGTGAATGTGTTTCCTCTTTTTTTTTTTTTCATGTAGGATGGTCAGTACAGTCCCTACAAATCTGAACGCTTCCTTATTTTGTGGATTTTGATGATCAGTGTTTTTACAGCTGGACAACCTTAAAGACATTTGAACAAGATTTGGTTTAAATTATACTTGATGGCTTTCCCATGCATCTCTCTTTATTTTTTATTAATATCAGTTTTAACCTGATTCAGTTGCTGTATTATGGAGTTGTTTTTTTTTATTAACACATTGGCTGTTTCCCACCGAGGCAGGGATATGATCTCCAAAACACATAATTTTATTAGCGTCCATAGGATTTTCAAAAAATGTCTTTAAGCACATGCTGCAGAAGTTGGACACCTCTCATGGTCTCAGCTGTAGATTTGCTATATCAAATGTAACTGCCATCCTTTCAGTCAATGTCCTTAACTCAACATCTCCACCTATCCTTTTCCTATCAACACTCACGCCTCTACCTTGTAGCACTGTATGACCCTCATTGAATTGTACACCAGTTTCACACACTACTGTATTATGGATGTGCTTCTTAACATGCTAAAAATCTGTAACTTGTCTTTACATATAAGAGCAAACTCCTCAAGTCTTCCATAATTGCATCATAATCTGGTTTCAGCATACTACAAGATCAAGGGAAGCTTGATGCTAAAACTGTCCTTACCCTGAAATAACTTATTCCTGCACCTAGTTCAAATCATGTTACCTGACTTATTGTAGGTTATGTTCTCTGCCTTAATATATAAACTTTGCCACATGGTGATACTGAAATATACAGTACTTATTTAATGTTTTATTGTCTCCATATAGGTTCATTTGTGCCTTTGGCAAGGGGATAGTAACCCCTTTTCCTGTATACATTACTAAAGTTATGGAGAGAAATTTCTGTTTTTCTTTTTGGGCCACCCTGCCTTGGTGGGATATCGCTGGTTTGTTGAAAGTAGAAGAAATTTGTATTGATAGATACTTCATGCACTCCTGAAATTTCTTATTTACTTAACTTTTTAGCTATACATAGCTATGAATAAATGTGTGTGTGTACTCTTGGCAGAATTGCTTTATTAAAGTAATGTTACAAGAATGTCAAAGCCATCCCAAAAATTAAAAAGATTAAATTAAATATTGTGCTTTTACATTGTAAGCAGTAATTGCTTCTCTCACTCTTCAGGGTCATATAATAACTCTGGTTTAGTTTCATTACAAAATGTTGAATGCTGAAGACATTCTGTATTCGCTTTTTCATATACATATACAGTCTTGCATGCATTCATTATTTAGATGTATTTTAATTTATTTCACAGGACATCCTCTTTGATGCCAAAACTCAGCGTGCCAAGAAGTTTGTGTTGCACACCAACTTTCCAGGACATTATAACTTCAACATGTACCACCGATGTGAGTTTGAGCTCCCTCTTACTGTTCCTCGTCAGCCTGAGGATGCAACACAGCTCATTGACTTACCCTCCACAATCACGGTATGAAGCACAGTTGGTTATTGTAATTGAAGAGGTTACCCGAGTTGAATTTAAATCTGTAATTTAAGTAGATGGAGTTATAGTGGGCTGATGTCTTGTCAGATGTTAGTAGTATTAGTGTAACTTGCATGCCCTGGAAGATTACTCTGTATTTCTTTCATATTTTTATTTACCTTTACTTTATAGCTTAGAAAGATGTTAATGTCTATATACTGTATTAACATTTTTCCTTTTTATTTACTAAAAGCACTGCATGTCAGTAGAAAAATGTGGTTTTTAATATTTTTTTATACTAATTTCACATAACGTTAGTGACCTGAAACATTTTCACTAATTAGCACTGAAGTTTCTCAAGGACAGTGAAATGACCATGAAATTTCAAAGAAGGCTCTGTAAATACATTCATTACACTGTAATATTTAACAAATGTATGTGAATGTTGGAAAAGTAGTGACTGAAGCATGTAGCAGAGGCTTTGCCCAGTGTTGGAACTTTAAATCCCAATAACTTAATATGTAACCCATCATTTTAACCAGAGTTGATTTTAAAGTATTTTCTTTTGTTGATTTTCATCTAACTCCTGATCAACGATTCAACGCTGACCTCCGACTGATGAATTACGTAACGACCCATCATTGTGCTCTGGCTATTTGTTATAAATATGGTAAGAGGTTCAAGAAAGACAAGCACATTGTGCTTTCATAGGTTTGATATTGCTTACTTTTTCAAGAAGTGATTATTGAGAAACTTTTCTTTGTAATTTTATCTTGTGGAAGGTTTTTGTTGTTCTTGCGTTAAACTGACATATGACATTTAATTTGCTGTAATTTACACACACATGCAAGGTATCTCTACAGAAAATATTTTCTTAATGTTATGCTCATTCCATCTTGGTGTTGGTAAGGTGTCATTTCCCATTAAGTTTATTTATTGAATCTAAAAGTAGATTAAGGAATGCATGAAAATGGGAGCATTTTCAGTGGAATGTTAGTGACGATAAGTGTATGCTAATGAGAGGGATGGGTGTATAGAGAAGTGAGGTATGGTAGGTGGTTTGTAATGCTTGGAGAAGACTTCATAGCTCACTATATTAAACAGTAGAAGATAGTGTCATGAATATAGAGTTAATATAGTGCAAACTCCAATATCTGTATTATCTGTACATGTTTTCATATACAAGGGTGTAAATCGAATACAAAGTGCTTCTAATTTTACTCATGTACATCTCTTGTATTTGAATTTTTTTCTTGCACCCTGAGTCACACTCGAGCTGATTTGAATGTTTCTTGGTTATGCTTAGCCACAGTGTTTCCGAACGTTTCTCAGTTATTTGTTGAATTTGCATAGTTTTAAATATGTATTTTATAGATCTATGTTGCCCAACCTAACCTTACCTAGTGTACATTAAAACAAAAAATTATTTGTGGAGTTATAGGAAACTTAAAAAAATTGATGCTAAAACCCTTGTAAGAAAATTAGCCTAGTAAAATAAGGGTAGGTTGTGTATACAATAAGACTGAGCAAACTAATTATTTTGCTCTATTACAACACTATCCTTATTCTATGCTGACACTAATGCTATTTTTTGCACTCTCATTTATTTAAGTTTATATACACACACAGTAGTTGCTCTTATACCTGTGTTACTGTGTTTATAAGATGTTTCCTGTCATTTTGCATAAAATGGATAGAATAATTCAGTGACATTGAATATTCACTTGAAAATTGCACATTAAAGCAAGGAATTCTTCTATATATATTTTTTAAATATGGTTCAGCACTAGTGCCTTCTGTTTTATCTTGTCATAAGTGCCACATATGTGACACTCATGGTTTTCTATGAAGTGACATGGAATGGGCAAAAGCTAGAATTGGTCACTGCCTGCCATTTAAGTCAGGATCTTTGTAAAAACCATTTTAGTGTTGCAGATGTAGCTATCTGTAACCTTTCCAGAAAATGAATTTTCTGGTTGTGGATCCCGTACGACCTGTGGTGCATTGGGTTAAAGCACAAGCTGTGTAATTCTAGGATTGTTAGACTGTGGGGTCAAACTCTCTTACTCATTCAAATTGTTAAATTTATTAATTATGTTTTCAGGACATTGACAAGTGGGTTAGAGGCATAGAAGTTAATAGTAGTCTTTGTGTGGTGGACTTCGAATCCACTTCTTGCATTTAATGACCCACGTGGGTTTTGTGCTTCACAAAAGTTTAATCCCCATTTTAATGAAGTTTAAATATTTGGATGCTCTCTGTAAAAATAAATAAATATATATATAAATATTTTGGGATTTGACAAGTTGTTGGAGTGTGAGCGAGCAGGGTAATATTTTGTAAAGGGATTCAGGGAAACTGGTTAGCCAGATTTGAGTCCTGGAGGTGGGAAATACAGTGCCTGCACTTAAAAGGAAAGGTTTAGAATACAGTGGAACCTTGTTTTTACATCTATGTTATAAATAATAATAGTACATATTATTAATAACATGTATTATTATTAACATGTATGTTATTAAATACCATTGCCTCAATCACTGCCTCTACCACTCCAGTCACACTCAATCTACAAGCACCAAACACAATGAATTATTGTGAAATGTTTGGAAGAGCAGGGAGACTAATGTTCACTCCAGCACAAACAAAGTCACACTGATGATGTGTCAACCACTCCCTCGTATTTTTGTACAATTTCCTTCTTAAATTTATATATATTTATTATTATTATTATTATTATTTTATTATTATTATTATTATTATTATTACTATTGTTATTATTAGCTGTAGCAGAAATGTTTAATTCTTTGCAGTGTTCAAGAGTAAACACTTTGATGTCACCTTTCTAATACCTGTCCGAATAGCCATTCCAATATGCAGTCATGAATGGGTTTACATTATTTATACTGTAGTTTAATAGCAAATAATGAACAAACAAAACCTCACCACACTGAGTGGTGGGAGGGCTGGCTGCCAGTTGCGGGGGGGTCGGAGGGAGTTAGTAGGGACTGCAGGTGGCGGGAAACTTAAATATGATTTGGCGGCTGGGAATTTGGCGGTTGGAATTCGCGAATGTGTGAAGCCCGTGAAAGTTGAAAATGTGAATGTTGAGGGAGACCTGTATATACAGTGGTCCCTCGTTGTTCGTAATTAATCCGTTCCTGGAGACGTTACTATAAACGAAATTTACGATTTACGAATAAATTTTTTCCCATAAGAAAAAATTTGTAAATACAATTAACCCGTTCCTGACACCCAGAAGTATTAAAACAAAAAAAATTTTAACATGAAATATACATGTAGTACATAAACAATACAATGGGAAATGATGAATGAAACATTAACAGCATAACACTTACCTTTATTGGAGATTCTTCTTAGTGTATGGGAGACTGGAGGAGGAGAAGAGAGTGGATTGTTTATAGTTTGGAAGGGGAAATCCCTTCTCTTCTCTGTTTCTTAATGCCACTAGGACCACCTTGAGAGTCACTGGAGTCCTGTCTCACAAAATAACTGTGGGAGAGCTCTGTTTCTGGCGTCTCTTTAACACTTCCCTAAAATGGCCAAAGGACTTTGTCACTGTTACATGTTGCCCAACTGGCTTGCAACAACCTTGTTAGGGTGATGTTTCTCCATAAAGCTTTCCATCTTCCCCCACATAGTAAAAATCTCTTTAATTTCTGAAGAAGGCACCTTCTTCCATCTCTCTTCCTCCTCCTCTGCAGCAAGATTCTGAGCTGCGATGTGTTGCTCTTCTGCTGAAGCTCTTGCAGCTCCTCAGTGGTAAAGCTTTTCATTGTGGTCTTCCACCAATTCTTCCACATCCTCCAAACTCACATCCAACCTCATGGAACTCCCCAGTGCCAACAATTGATTTTTACAACAGACATAGGCTCATTAGGGTCAGTCCCAAATCCTTCAAAATCCCTCTTGTCGACACAATCTGGCCACAATTTTCTCCAGGCAGAGTTAAAAGGGCCCTGGTAGTCACTCCCTCCCAAGCCATACCTATAAGGGTTATGAGTGGAGGATGCTGAAGTGTTCTCTCCAAAATTCCCTTGGGGTTTCAAGTGAGTGTCTGTGGTCACAGTCAAGCACCTGTGAAACATTGCTTTTTTTGTAGAGTTTTTAAATTTTGCAATAACCTGCTGGTCACATGGGTTGGAGGGAGGAGTGGTATTCAGGGGCAAGAACTTTACTGTGATGAACCCAAACCCCTCGAAAATTAGGTCATCCAAGTTTGGAGGATGAGCAGGTGCATTGTCCATTACTAGCAGGCACTTGAGATCCAATTTCTTTTCCAGGAGATATTCCTTCACACTAGGGCCAAAACTTCATTGAACCACTCGACGAAAATTTCCCTCGTGCCCCATGCCTTACTATTAGATTTCCAAAACACACACAATTTACTCTTCATAACATTGTTTTCCCTGAACACTCTGGGATTTTCAGAATGGTACACTAGTAATGGCTTCACTTTGAAATCCCCACTAGCATTAGCACAGAACATTAGCGTCAGCCTGTCTTTCATAGGCTTGTGTCCTGGCATTGCCTTTTCCTCTTGTGTAATGAAGGTCCTCTTTGGCATTTTCTTCCAAAAGAGGCCTGTTTCGTCACAATTGAACACTTGTTCAGGTTTCAGTCCTTCACTGTTTATGTACTCCTGGAATTCATGCACATCGCTATTGGGCCGTGCGGACGTGCTGCGCAGTAGCTCCTGATTGAGTTGGCTTTTGCGCAGTGTTGACGTGTACTTAGCTCTGTGAAGACCTGTTTGCGCGCTCTCTGCGAATTGAAGCAAGATGCCCTCCATCGAGCAACTTTACCAACAACTTAAGGAAGAATTGAGGATAGCGAAGTTGGAGATTCGGCGACTGACCGAGGAAAACAAGAAGATTCGTAGTAGTCCTTCCTGTTTTGAGTCCTCAGGTTAAGAAGGGAAACTGGTCAGTGGCTAGACAGCAGGGAACGAAGTTGACGATCAAGAAGACGAATGGAAAGATAGAAAC